CGTTCTTGTATCCCTTGGAATGCTCTTTCAGATCATTACTTCTTGTTGCTAAGTAAACTTGTACAGTTGGATATGTGTCTGAAATACCTTTTAAAACATTCTTTACATGTTTTTCATCTTGTTGTGAATATGCTATAGTATTAATAAGGATTGTTATAAGGGATCTGATTGGTTTGGCATCGGTACATTTTATCATTGCCCAACCCTTTTCATAATATGAATAACCTTCCTTTGCCCCCTTGTATATTTCTGGACAAACTTCAACCTTTGTTACCTCTGTATTGTTTGTCACCACTGTTTTGTTTGTCACCTCTGTTTTCTTTGTCACCTCTGTTTTGTGTGTCACCACTTTTTTCTTTGTCACCTCTGTTTTCTTTGTCACCTCTGTTTTCTTTGTCAATGAAGTTAATTCGATTCTTTCATCCAAGCGATGAATAATTTCTTCCAGCTTGAGGATAGTTTTCATATTTGGTGATTTTCCATCGATGTTCATGTCAACCCATAACTGTTGGTGTATTTCCTTGAGGTCTTTGGCGATTCCTCGCTTAAACAAAACCACATCATACCTATTGGAAAGAACAAACTACTGCTCAGTAATATTAAACAAATTACACTGCACACACTGCATTGATTTCGAAGTTTAAAAAATAAATCATCCTCGGATAAGTRAGTTTTACATAGTCTTTGACAAAGGAGCAAAAGGCACAACTCTACTAACTAGGCTTGAAATCATATTTCTCGCAATCGAATAAAGCGATTTCTTTCCGTTTCTCAGAAGGACTAGTGGAATGGTAATACAACTCTACGAGCCAAAAAAGGCCTTTCCTAGTTCAGAAAGGAAAGGTTTCGGTCACATGAACTAATTGTATTGGATTGTTTACGTTTTTGGTGCAAAAAAGGTTCCAATGGGAATCAACTTCGAAACGCTTCCGTAAGAATAGTCGAATCTTCGTTAACTTGAAAACGATCTTATGAACTTTAAGTACTTTTTAACCATTTTTTAAACAAACGTCTGGTTTCGCCTAAAATGAAATGTATAAAATAATGACGTGACGTTACTGTGTTGCTATGGCAACTCCGATCTTCATAAACTGTATTTCATGTTAAACTTGAATCTCTCTCCTGACATGTCATAACACTTTATTTGAAATTAGCTTATTAGCAGCGAAGAATTTCCTGTTCAAACTTCGAAGGTACGCCACAAACAAAGCCCAGTCGAGCCACCTTAAGAAAGAGTGGCGCTTATATGAACAGYGTTGCGTTATGCATGTCACACTACTTGTCAACTTGCAGTCACAACACGACAAGATCGGGAAATATTCATTATATCGGAAATTTGATACAATCAAWTTGTACACCACTGGCTGTACACTCCAGGACAGTAGAATGAATATCTTTTTAATGATTTAAAACTTCTGTGATTYACACCGCTATTGCAATTTTGAACTTTTTAGCGACTAAATATTAGAGTTGATATAGCTTGCCTTATGATGTGGTGAAAATCACGTAAATCGAATTGACAAAGTGACCTTTTTGAATGAATTTGTCAGAAATTAGGTCATAATCCCTTAAAAGTGCTTCACAAGCCGGCGAGAACATTTCGTTTCCGGAACTTTTCAAATACGATGACGTCATGATTGTCATGGAACATGGCGGGGAGGCTAAAAATTCACCGCGGGCTCAATTTCAACTTCGATGCGCATGCTCAGATGTGCAATGAAGCGTTTTTGCCGCCTCTGATCGGACTAGTGTGGACGCGAAACATTTTCTCCGTTTTCATGTGGGGACGGTTTCGGTGTGAAAGTTGCGGATTCAAATTTATCCTGCATATTGTGGACGGGACCTTAGTTACACTTTAAGTTGGCTGCCTACTTTTGAACGTTCGANGGTCACATGAACTAATTGTATTGGATTGTTTACGTTTTTGGTGCAAAAAAGGTTCCAATGGGAATCAACTTCGAAACGCTTCCATAAGAATAGTCGAATCTTCGTTAACTTGAAAACAATCTTATGAACTTTAAGTACTTTTTAACCATTTTTGAAAGGAATGGAATGTATAAAAAATGACATGACGCTACTTTGTTGCTATGGCAACTCCGATCGTCATAAACTGTATTTCATGTGAAACTTGAATCACTCTCTAGACATGTCATAACACTTTATTTGAAATTAGCTTATTAGCAGCGAAGAATTTCCTGTTCAAACTTCGAAGGTATGCCACGAACAAAACCCCGTCGAGCCACCTTAGAAAAGAGTGGCGGTTGCGTTATGCATGTCACACTACTTGTCAACTTGCCGTCACAACGCGACAAGATCGGAAAATATTCATTATATCGGAAATTCAATACAATCAATAAGCCTATATTTTGTGAGTAATAATTTTTCAATTACATTTATCGATTTTTCAATTATATTTATCGATTATCGATTGTTGTATCGCGTTAACTGGCGTTAACTGCGCATGCCTGCATTTTGTAGACGATGGAATAAAAGAACGGGCTTTTTATAACTCGGACCTTCCTTCGGAAGAAGCCCGAGTAATAAATAAATAAATTTACTTTATCTAACGAGGGAGACATACATTACTGGTAGCCCAGTAGTTTACATTATGGCCCTCTTTCAATTATTAGACTGAAATGAATGATCAAAGAAACATAAAGTGTGTTAAGAATCCCAACTGGCAAGGAGGTAAACCAGTAGGCTATTAACAAGCATGGTCAAGAAACTGAATCTGAATAACTAATCAGGAATCAGGACAAATATACAGTCTCAGCTGGTGGCCAAAGCGGGACTCGAATCCGACGCCACCGGATTGCTAGGCCGACGCTAGCTATGACCACTCGACCATGCTGCCTCAGAGTAATCCGAGTGAACAGGAATGAGAATCTACGAGTAAAACTGACTTGAATCTCGGTGAAATCCTATACGAGGAAATGAAGGTAGCCAACTTTATAAATATTAATTAAACAACGGAAGAACCACACGAGTAAGCGCCACTAAGGGCGTCCATTTTTTTAATATAAGCTTACACGTATAAGACGAAGGACTGCACCAAACTTTTTACGGCTTTTTCACATTAAAACTTATATATAACTTACTTCATGGTATATACTATATAGTCCCAAAATATTATAACACCTTAGTCATTATCTTTTAGGACTCTATTCCCTATTCATTTTCATCGATCGAGGTAGTCTCAGAGTTAAATTCTCAACAAAAGCTTACCTTTTAAGATAAGGAGCCACCACTAGTAATATCGACAATAAGAAACCAAGAGAAAGAATATAACGATTAAAAAGCCAGGAAAAACTGCGAAGGCGACAGCTTATACAAAACCTACTAAACTTCATTGCATTGACGTTCACCATGTTATACTGTGCTTGTAAGATTAAGAATTTCCGCAGACTAGAGGCCCCGCAGGCGCCATAAATATTTAACATCAAGAATCAGTCGAGCGTGCATCATTAACTTGTAAGTAGTTTTCTTTTTTTT